GCCTTTTCCGTTGACAATCGCCAGATATTTTTCGATTAAAGATTGGTTCACTCGATCCAATTGTTCACAACAAAGGTCTACATTAACAGCTTATCCAGGTTTCAGCAATTCAAAATGAACAATTCCGCGAATACTTCATCAAGCACCCAGAAGCGCCTTTTCGGGATGTAAACCCTTTGTAACCCCTATTAAAACTGCCTTTTGAGTTTCGGATTATCATATAGGACTTATTTTTTTTTCTCTCCACTAATCAAACGATCAAAAAACGGTTCTGTATGGTGCCGTTGAAGCAATACGTTGCATGTGATGGATAGGTTGGCTTTGTTCTTTTCGGACAGATTATGGGGGACTCAAACACCTGCTTTGTTTATTTTTCCATTCTGCTTTAAATGTTCTTGGATGGTCGACCAAGGTTGGTTAAGAGCGTTTGACATGGATTTTCTTCCACTTCTGACCTTAGCATGTTGCTGTCGACATGCGCAGAAACGGCATCACTTTCCTGTCCCCCTATTATTTGTACCAAAAATGAAACTTTTTTATTTGTTTATCCTTAAACTTTTTCTGTTTTGTTTGTCTCCTTGTGCTAAGTCATGTCACCTGGCTAAGCAAAAATAGCTTCGTTTTATTAAAATGCATTTCGCGATCTCAATGTTTGTTCCTTAGAGATTTTACTTGCTAATGAAATTCTAAGGTTTATCCTAAGTTTTTAACAGTTAATTTTGAGTTAAATCCACTGTCTTATCCTTCTTAATTTTAGCTTACAATTTCCTCCAGAATGTGTTTTCAGAATCGCGGTTAATGCAATGAAGGAAGAGCAAGAATTAGCTCGTTAGAATCTCTGGCTTTCTAGCGATGTGAGTAGAAAGCCAGAGATTCTAACCAGCGCGCGTTCGCCTTTTGCCTATACTTTCTGTAATTCTATTTCTACGCTCGACAGTACTTTAGGCTCTTGGATAGCTTCGCCGTTAGTTAGCGTTAAGGGGCCAACTCCTGTAAAACTGTGATAGCTTCGGCTATATCTCTTTAGTTAAGTTTTATTTTTTAGCATTCTTGAGTTCAAGCACAACTAGAGGCTTTTCTGTATGTCCCAAGAGAGGACAGACTGTGAACTTAATTTGAGCAATAAAGGGTAATTAACCGCTCTCGTGAGTTTACGTTTCTATCTTTCTGAACCAAGCGATTATTCGCTTACCAGTTCTCAAGGTTCCACACATTTAGCTGTAAATTATAGGTTGGAACACTACAAACCTTATTTGAGATCAGTTGCCATTGACCGAGGATTTTCTTCAGGGGTCTTTAATAAAGCTTTTAAAAAAATTTTATCTTACCATCAAAGAAGACTTTTCGCTTTTAAAAACTACATTAATAACCTTGTGGTTCCATTTCATCCTTCTGTCAGTTACAAAATTGCACGGATTCTCCAGGAGTTCAATTTTCTAGTCATTTTCTCGTTTATCTATAAAATCTATGGTTCGACTCTTAAAGATTCCACTTTCTGGCTTTAATGCTTGGAGAATTTATAGCATATCGCGTCAGCGTGGTTTGAGATATATCGACCAAACTAAAAGAGAATTAGAGTTTTGCATCAAAGAACACAAATCTATGTCTGAAAGGGCGAAATTAACAACCTTCGACAGCTAATCGTAGTTAGAAATTTGTTAAGAATTTTGACTTTGTAAAAATTATCGAAAAAACTTCTTTATTAGTGAATCAGATTTTCATAAAGTTTTTCATGTTCGCAAAAACTTATCTTAGTCAATTATTTTAATTCTAGTCTAGTCCTTCCTAATGCTTTAAGATTCTATTAACTTAATTTTTCAATTTTCTTTACTATTTATACCAAGAGATGGCGCTTTCTTCTCGTTTGCTTTAGTCCTTTTGAGTATAAATACGATCGTGGCTTTCCTTCTTTGCTGCTTTAATTGCTAATGATGAAGGGCGACCTGTACCTTTCGCCTTCGAAATCAATACAGTCTTGACTAAAATCTATGTCAAACACAAGGTTGTTGTTTTGCTAATGTTATGGATACGAAATTATTCTATGATGCTGAGTTTCTAAAAGATTCTTTAGTATAATTATGCGACATTAAAAATAGAATTTTTATTAGTTTTTCGAGAAGTTTAAAACATTTGTAGTTATTTGAAAAATCCCGATGTAAAAGAAGCGGGGTTCTTTAGGAAAATTACGTTTTTTTTTTTTTTTTTTTTTTGGTCGGTATCATTTAAAATTTATTGAAAGGTTGACTGAATAAATATTTTTATATAGCAGTGAGCGGAGAAGTTTTTATCTTGCTTTTCATAGCAAGTTAAGCTTTATAGTTCCTTAAAACTTTACTATATTTTCAGAAATATTATTTTACTAAAGTTGTAAAGTTTAATTTTGTGTTTGAAATCCTGCCTCATACAGGATGCACAAGAGTTCCTTTGAAAGTGCTAATAGTTAAAGTAATAATAGTTAGTAATTGCCCACCAAATGTTCTAGTTAAATCGGCAACGTCCTGGGACAGTCGGAGAGTTTTCTCATCTGATCCTAAATGAGCTCTTTTGGGCAGAGATCTGACATCAAGGAAATGTTTGACAAGCACGTAAGTAATGACTAAAAATTATTTACCCTACCGTGCATTTTCGTATTGAAGCCTGGAGTTCCTCGAAAGTAAGAGCAAAAAGCAAGGCGTCATGGATGTAATATTCGGACTTCTTTGGTTGTCATTCAAGACCCCTTGTCTTGATGCAAGGGGTCACGAATGGCAACCAAATAAGTCCGAATTTCAAATGAAATGACACTTTGTTGTCGGCCTGTGTGACCTACGGTAGTTCGATTACCATTAGCTGTCTTGGATATCTCCAGCCTCGTCTTTGCTACACATCGTGGCTCATTGCTGAAGAAATTATATTTCAATCACTGTGAGTTCATGTCAAATGAACTAGCACCATTGCAAACGCTCTTATGGGTGTGCTTGGGGGAGGGATAGTCGAGCCAATAGACCTTGTCAACGCAGTTCCATTGTCTGAGTCATTTATCAAGGGTCCTTATGGCCACTAGTGTCCCACTTATGTTCGGGTTGTTAATAACTAATCAGAAAGGGTGTTGCTATTCGAAAATATGGAAAAATTTCCACTATAACAGTAACCGTAAGAATTCTATTGTTTTAAATCATGATCAACTCGAGAGTATACTTTCAAATAACAATGTCTGAAATTTCCTTTCGATTGTCTGAACGGATAGGTTGTTAGGAGCTCATACATCGGAGAAAGTTTTTTATGACCACCCTGTATTTAATAAATATTCGTGTAATATTGTGAAAAAAGAAGGATGCATAAGCTACTTTGAGATGCATACAAAAATTATTAAGATTTCTTCAAAGGAAAGTTTCCAAAGTTTTAAACGCTTAAACGGTTAGGGTTCTGCTGTATGTAGAACACCTGCAAACCCTACTAGATTGGAAAAGAGTTATTGCTTAGTCTGAAAAAAAAAATACAAAGTTTAAAAGAGGTTCAAATAAACTTTTTTTAAATTTGGTTCTTAAATGTCTGTCTCACAGCTTGCGCGATAGATGAACCTCGGTCACTTCCGAGTATTTAAATTAACATAATTGATAGCTGACAGTTGATAATTGATGGCAAACGAAGGAACCAGTGCTTTACCGTGAAGTCAACAGGTAATGCCTTTCGACTGCAAGTTTCTGTAAGTTAGACGATTTCAAAGTTCAGTACTATTCCAAAATTAAATGCATAAGCAGATTTGCGAGAACTGACTTGTAGTATACGAGAAGCACTTGTACTTACGACGATGCAATGCTTGCAGTCATGAATGGTTACCTTGAATATGGCTTGAAACAAATCTTGTAAAATGAAAGTTAATAACTTAATGGTTGTTCTATACGTGCAGAAGAGGGAAATTTCTTCATCAGGGAGGAAATAAATCTGTGCCTATGTTTGCTACTGTATTCGTAATGAACGGTAAACATTTTAGAGTTATTTACGATGGATGACAAATGTAGAAATCTTTTGTTAATGGTCATTTCAATAGATAATAAGAACCATCTCTTAATTCGCCGCAGATGCAGTATCTATAGATGAAATGCTTCAGTAAAAATAAGTAAGGAATGAACCATGGTCTGAGTAGAATACATTTTATTTGTGGAGTAGTATTTGTGGATTACAATTTGTAAATATATTGAAAGTTGTCCTTCTTTTTTTTTATGATACACCGCACCTTTCGCCATGCTGTCCTTGTTATTTGTTGCAGATTAATAGTGAGATGATGTTTTGGCCATTAAATGTACAGTACGTTGCTGTTTGTTGTTGCTATGTCTTGTACAGATCCTTTCGTAAATTTATCTGTATATTTATCTGTATATCTGTATATTTTCCATCATTTCCTTCGTGTCCTTTAATCCATGCGCAGCTGTTTACAGATTAATGTAAGGTAACTTAATAATTAATGTAAGATAAAATTCAAATGTAGGTTACGTCTTTGAGACTACAACATAAAATAATCTACTTAAGCTGGCTCAAGACAATTACGTCGCGTATTTTAATTGTCGGATAGCAAGTATGTAATAAAGCCAGAAATAAATTTAAGCAGAGCTGGTGATAGTAGGTAACTGTATGATAAGACTGCCAGAAGCTCTGATAAAAGCGCTAAAACCCTCGACTTAAATATAAAAACAACTAATTTACATTCTGGTGAGAACTACGGAAAGGAAAAATTATAGTAAAGTTTTAGATCATAATAATTGGTTAATTAACGTGAAACACCTTATAAACAATGACTATAAACCTTGATTTAACAATTTTAGGGATTAGGGTCTCGGATAATAATGGTGATGAAGAAGAAATGAAGTAATTTTGAAAACCTTTAGTTAAAATTCTTTGTAAAGTACATATTTTAGCTGTATTTTAGTCTCTAAAAACATTCTCTCTCTCTGAACAAAATATTTCAACTATTAGGATAAAATTATTTGATACCAATATTGTGAAAAGTTAGTATCAAATTATTATAAAGAGATGTTTTCAGTTTTTATTAAACCCATTGCAAAGAAATGCACATAATAATGCAAGTAATCCTACTAAAACATATGTCATAAAATTTCTTAGGAATTTTATAATACATCCATTTTGAGAGGAAAATTTACAGTAATCGATATAAAGCTATTTCGAATTCCAGTAGTACAGTGATATTTCTCATCCTGAATCGAAATAGTTTGGATCAATGTATGAGTTCTACGTTGTCTGAACAAAACATTTAACCATAAAAATAATTCGGTGTCAAGGCCTCACAAGTCATTTTATGGATGGTCAATCGTTTGGAATTCAGACATGCTTGAAGTACTTTTCGCTTCTGCACTTTCCTCAAAGTTCCTTTCAAACCACTCTTTTTGCACTTCTGAAAGGGAAATCGTTTAAGTATTTCATTGCTCACGTAACATTTACTTTACCTATTTTTAAAATAACATTTCTTTTATTTATGACAGAATATTATCATTTTAAGTACCGAGTAAATGAAAATAACATTTTGGCTAGTAAAAGCATTTCATCATCTCTCAAATAACAATGCAAATAATAAAATGCTATTTAATTACACCATATAAATATATATAATCTAATTATAAGTCTGACACAGGGCTGAATATAAAACATTTTAATTATAAGGTGACATAAGACATAAAAATGCATTAATTACAGGTTAAGTAACATTAAGATACATTAGGTTATTTCGAAGCAGGAGAGAGAAAAAATGAGCAACGCCTGCGCCGGGAATCGAACCACGGACCTCTGGAATACGCGCCCAGCGTGTTGATCACCCCACTACGAAGGCATGCTAGGAAGGCGAGAGAAATACCTTATAAACATACAGTGGATGGACAAAAATATGGAAACACCTTGTGAAATGCATGTTTAAAAAAGAAAGATTGATTTTAATGAAATATGTAGTTGGCGCTGGCGTTTTTGACTACTGACGCCACCTATACAACTTCGTAAATGTGCTAAACAGTTCAGTTGTTGTCGGAGTACTGTTATGTGAGGTTGTCATTGCATTATGTCAGAGTTAACAGACCTCGAACATGGGCAAATTGTTGGAGCACGTATGGTAGGTGCTTCCGTAAGCAAGGTAGCCGAGGTGTTTAATGTTTCAAGAGGTACTGTAACGAAGATTTTTTTCCGCATATTTGAAAAGCGGAAAAACATCATCTGCTAAATCACAGCGCGGACGAAAGTATGTCCTGAGTGATCGTGACAGACGATCATTAAGGGCAATTGTGACGAAAAATAAGACCACAGCTGCAAAAGTTACTGCTGAAATGAATGTTGTGTTACCGAACCCTGTGAGTACCAAAACAATTAGAAGGGAGCTTCATAAACAGAGAATTGCTGGCCGTGCTGCAATTGAGAAGCCACTTATCAGTGATGCTAATGCCCGTAATAGAAAAACGTGGTGTTTAAGTCATAAAGCCTGGACTATAGAGCAGTGGAAGCGAGTAATATGGTCTGACGAGTCTTCTTTCACATTGTTTCCCACTTCTGGCCGAGTTTACGTCTGGAGAACGCCATCTCAAGCCTATAATACAGACTGCTTGTTGCCAAGAGTGAAACATGGCGGGGGTTCTGTTATGAATTGGGCAGCCATATCGTGGTTCTCTGCTAGCCCCATGATAACTGTGTCAGGGCACATGACTGCCAAGACTTACGTGAACATTTTGGCCGATCAAGTTCATCCCATGGTACAAACTTTGTTCCCCGATGGTGATGGTGTCTTCCAAGACGACAAAGCCCCTGTTCACGCAGCTCACATTGTCCAGGACTGGTTTTCTGAGCACGAGGATTGTCCCATCTCCCCTGGCCACCACAGTCACCAGACCTGAATATTATCGAACCTTTGTGGTCTTCATTGGAACGGAAAGTGCGTTCTTGTTATCCACCGCCAACATCGTTATCTGAACTTGCCACCGTTTTGCAGGAAGAATGGTATAATATTCCCTGAGCAAACATACAGAAACTGTATTTATCCATTCCGAGAAGACTGCAAGCTGTTTTGGTTGCCAACGGGTTTCCTACACCATATTAAGCAAAGAGACATGTTTTTTTTAAAGGTGCTTTCATATTTTTGTCCAACCCCTGTAGCTTGTAGGAGTTAAGTGAACACTTTCAAGTACTGGCTAGTAAAGAGTTTTCTTACAAATTCTAATGTGTGAAATTCGTAATTTAAAATGTTAATAACAATTATGTCTTATGTCCATAAGTATGTAATTTTATCTATAAGTGTTGTCTGTTAAAGCATCATTGAATCATTCCGCCATCTTTACATGCAAACAAGTGCGCTGTCATTCTTCTTGGAATTTTGTATTTCCGGTATGACTTTTCCTTGTCTCTCTGTCTTTTAGCCTTCAGAGATTACATCTGTTACGAAATGAGTAGATCTTTTCGTTACGTGATGTATTGCATGGAATAATATATTTTTTTAAACACAGGTATATCTGTTTACTTGCAACGAATAGTTCATTTTAAGTTAGCACTTTCCTATTACTCTCTTTTTACCCACGCTTTTCATGCCAGAATGTAAATGAGATAGCGAGCGGTTGTTCAGATTAAGATAGAAAGAAGTGCTATGTAAGCAAGAATTTCAAAAAATTGTTTTTAGAGCTTATCTGTCTATTCCAGGCCAAGTTGTGTTGTGATTATTAGCGATTTGATTTAATGGCGTTTGTACATCTAGCCATTCGTCTTTGTCTCGCCGGTTTTATACAGACCAGAGCCTTGTCTGCGCGTTAAATTATCCTGTGAGCCTTTAGGCTAATCTGCCACATTTTGAATTTGTTCAAAACGTTACGTATTTCTGTTCAGAAGTTCTTGTGTAAACCCAAGTTGGGTAATTGTCTCAAGTTTGTGTTCGAATAAAAGGGTCTTATACAACCTTCTTCTGCCATCTGTTTTGTTTCACAAGACTGGAAGATAATTCTTCAGTACTCTTTTCTAAAGACTATAGTTATGCTCCGTAAGAGGACTAGACTTTATAAACTTGTATACGTATATAAAGTAATTAGTCAAAAAGGAAATATTTCTAAAGAAAAATCTTTTTAAAGATTATTCAATCCGAGAACGATTGTGTAGAGCAGTTAAATTGTCACATGTAAATTGGAAGTGTAAGAATTATATATATATATGTGTGTAATTTTTAAACAAATAGCAGGAGAAAACTTTAAAATTAATGAACTTCAAAATTTATTTTGAGAGGACTGAAAAAGCGAAATCCTACACTATCGCTGCAAAGATTAAAAATTTAATTTAATAGAGAAATGATAAATTATCTCCTAGAAAATATGAAGTGAAATTTAGATAGTAAATGTGTAGTATTGTGGAAACCAAAAATTAGCTAAACATGAACTGGTAAATAAAAGGATTAATTAATTAAAAGAAATTTTAAACAATTAAAAGTAAGAGAATCATTGTTGATTCCATAGAAACATTTCGACTTTTCAAGGGGAAATGGAATCTCTCCATACAATCACCAACAATAGAAGAGGATCGTGTTTCGTCATTTTGCATTCCTGAACAAAATCACTATTCCAGTTTTGAACTTTCTGATCAATTTTATAAAATCTGAATTTAAATTATGTAAATATTACAACTCATGTAAAGCAGAAAATCACTAAAAAAGAAACGAAAACTGCACAAATCATTTTAAAAAAATGTTTAACTATAGACAAAATATTTTTGCTCCTTTTATGGGAATATTAAATCCAGCAAATGGAATGATACTGTCTCTTAGAAAATTATTATATGATTGCGTTTTTCTGCAAAGTGAAATTTTTTGCAAAATCAGCTTTTGTTAGTATGACTTTTGACCAATTATATCACGTCTTTCCGGTTAAGATCTGCACTCTTCAAGTTCAGATAATTTTATACTGCATAAAAGTAGAAAACCATTATGCTCAAATTTACAAAATATTAATTACAGAGGAAAATATTTAGTATGTCTCAAGAGTACTTAAATACGTAAAATAGTAGTTCTATAAATACAATATTATATAATATAAAATATTATTTAATTAATAATAATTATTAATATTATTTAATTTTAAATATTTATATAATACAAATATTATTTTCTGTATACATCGCTAATGGAATTCGAGGAAATAAATTTAAATGAAGTGCTCTAAAAATGTGTATAATTTAATAGGTCGCACAAGAAAGTCATGTGGTGTCTGCATCAGATATTTTCATTTCAAATAATAGTCAAATGCTGCAGCCTAAATTATTAAATAACTCGAATTTTATTTCAAACTTTTAGAGGTGGTTAAATCTTTTGAAAAATTAGTTATGATAAATGGACTTTATCTTCATTACCACTCGTACTATAGATCTTCCAAGCTGACTTCAACTGGACATGATAACCACTTGCACCACGACAGCGCGAATGGGAGAATACAATAATTTCTTATATCCCATCTTTTAAGTACGACTGGGAAGAGGCACGAGAGCCGTTCGACTAATTCGGATAGTAACGAATTATCCCCCCCCACACACCACACATTATATTTCAGGATTCACGTACGGACTTATTATAATTTTAGAAGCCGTGAAACGGGTAAAATAAACGGTACTCTCAACAGGATTCGAACTGACCTATTTATGCTTTTTATACGTATCTTCAATAAAGAAACTTAAATGTAAGGCTATTTACTTACCGCCATTACTCGACCTAAATCCTGTTCAGCATGGGTTGGACACTCTAAGCAGATTTAGGAAAGATGGAATGATGAAAAACCAAGCACATAGGACCAAAAAAATTAAGTAGAAAAATATGAATACGTGACTTAAATTTAACCCCATATGGTCGTGTTCCATTTAAGGAGAAACAAGTAGAGAGATAGAGGTATGAAATATGAAATCAACCGATTTAATGACGCTATCATTAGATGTATCATTAAAATAGATGATTTTCAAAAATATTTCAGGAATCGGATGATACGTGAGTCATTTTTGTATGAAGATATATTTACATTAATAACATTATACTTATGAAGGTAAATTGCTTTGGGATGTGGATTAAAAAGGAATCTTTCCTATAAACTATTTCGTAACATGTTATCGCTTACGATGCAAATTTCTCTGAAATATGTTGCCATTTAAGTAGCATATTTATCCTGTATACATTTGTTTCAGGGAAAGACAGAGGTAGAAAAACATTTATTATGCGATTAGAGAAAAGGATTACATTTAGAGCAAATTCTCTCTGCGTGCAAGTTGAACATTAGTATCTCCTTCGTTTAGGAAGGCTATTAGTAGCGCTGCACTGAGAAAATTTATCTTCCGATTTAGGGCGCCAACATAGCAGTTAATTTCAGTAACTTTACGATGGAGAAGGTCTTTAAGCTGATTGGATTTCCAGCCTATAAACTTCCACACATGCTACTGTTAATCCGGCTGTTTTAATAGCAAGGCATTGCCCTAATAAATCTTAGAATAATTCAAGAAACAAAACAGAAGGAAAACACGCAAAAGTGAAGCATAAAATTAGCAAAGCTGTAACTTTGCGTCTGCAGTAATCAAGAACTCAATTTCTAAGGTTTCATTTCTAACTTTAATTCTTGGGGAATTTATAGCATATGTTCTCAGTGCGTTTTCAGATATATTGGACAAACTAAAACAGCGTTTAAGTTTCGTATCAAGTACACGAATCTTATCTACGAAAAGATGAAATTAACAAGTTTTCGATAGTTAATCATCATAGTTCGAAATTTAATCATAATTTTAATTTTAAGTCCTCAAAATTATTCGAAAAGTTCTACAATTTGTGAATTTTGTTTTCTTGAATTTCACATTCACAAAATTTTATCTTCTTCAGTTTATGACTTTAAGTCCAATCCAGTGCTTCCTAACGCTTTTAGAATTCTATTAATTTAATTTTTCAATTTCGTTGTACTTTTGCCGACAGATGGTGCTACCGTCTTATTCCCTTTACTGCCGTAGGAAATAATTACGACCGTCGCACTCGCTGCTTTCCAGTCTTGCAGATTTCTTTGCTATGATGAAGAGGGACCTGTACTTGTTTACCCTCTAAATAGATTGAGTTCTTGATTAAAATTTAAACCAAACACAAGGTTTTGCTAAATTTCATAATCTAGACTGTTAGCTTGATGAGCTAGATTTCTTATAAAAGTCTCTGAAAATAACAGAATTAAAATGAAAAAGGAATTCAAGAGTTCCGTGATAGAATCTGTTAGCTATTTGAGAGGTGCTTGACTGTATAATAAAAGAGTAAAAAATCTTCTTTGAAAAACATTGTGCTTTTCAAAAGACTTATTTTAGCTTTTGTTATCTTTTGGTTAACAGTTTTAACAAAAATAGGCAGGAAAAGCTTTTGCAATAAAATGGAAAAAATGTTTTGCATTAGGGAATTTGGCAAAATAGTAAAAAGATTTTTTAAAAAAATCTAGGAAAATCCTATATTTTGTAGCCATCAAAATATTAAATGAATCTCGTTTTCTACTTTAATTGAAAATTAAAATACAGACTAACATTTATACTTGCGGCATAGTTAAGTATGTCAGTTGAAAACGTTTTACTTCCTTGTACGCCGTGATGGACGTATTGTTACCTCAAGTATTGTAATCGCGAAAAATTTCGGATACCATATTTCAAACGAAAATATCGATTTTGACCTTTCCCGAATCCATGTAGACAATTGTTTTGTATGACGTCTATACTTACGGATTTACCTTTTTTTCTAAAAGGGATCATAAAATGGGATTAAAATTAATACGTAAAAGGATTTTTGTTCGTGATGTCTGTACGTACGTATGTACGTACGCGTATATGTATCTCGCATAACTCGAACACGATTAGCCATTATTCCTTGAAATGTTGTGTATTGGACTGTTATAACATCTAGCTGTGCATCTCCCTTTTTACTGCAATTAGCAGCTCTAACTATATGTATAAATGTAAGATAAAAAATATGTGAATTAAAATTATAAGTTAAACTAACGGTAACCCTTTAATTCTCCCTCTCTGTTTTAAAAATCGTAATAACGTCTCTGGATTGCGTCATTTCTAGATCATTCCATTTCGCATGGCCTGCGCAGCGCTGATGACGTAATAATTGGGAATTGAAACTTTTAACTCAAACCAAAACCTTTCTCTTCGTGTAATTCTATATTGGATAACTACGCACTTCAGCTTCTGTCTGTTCAGTGCTTGTACGCAATTTCGATGAACTCCCTTACTATCGCAAAAAGTATAAAAAATGTAAATGTTCTGTGAATAGGCCCGACTAGAGTGCCAAGTGACTGTGGCCACAAACGTCAACTGGGAAATAAAAATGGAATTAAAACCTCCTCGACTGCCAAGTTTTTTTATATATTACGAAGTCAACATATTAGCATACTACGCAATCAGAATTCTTCCTCTTCAATATGAATCTATGATCTATCCTATATAGCTATTACGCATCGACGCTTCTCCGTCTTTTTCTTGCTATTATTACATATATATATATATCTGTTCTGAAAACATAAAATTATAAGAAAATACGTACGATAAAAATTAACCGGGATATTTAATTTCAAAATTTGCAGTTTTGGGTGTCATTTTTATCTGGCTTTGAGGGATCTGTTAGCTATGGGAGAATAGTTCGAGGAAATAAGTTTAAATGAAGTGCAGCAAAAAATGTATATAATTTAATACGCCCGCACAAGAATGTCATGTGTTGATCACATCAGATTTTTTCATATTAGAATTAAGAATCCTCCATCATTACGCTATCAAAATCGCCCAAGAATATTGTTAATGAAATTTTGGAGGATTTTAGAAGTACTTCCTGAAAATATCTATGTATGTAAATGTGAAAGTCTTTTTCCCAAGACAGTGAATGGAAACTTTTCCAATAAAACTATTTATACAAGTTATTTTTTTTCTTCTGAAAGTAAGCACGCAGAGTATTGACCTCAATGATTTTTTTGCAGTACTTCCAACTAGTGGAGATAGCTCCATCGGGGACATATCACGTTACTGAAATTTGTTTTTCTTTTTAACTCGAATAGACATCTATTGATGGCTTGTGACTAATTTCATAATTCACAACGACATTTCATTTTCCAAGAAAAAATAAAAAATTAGGAGGAAAGAATTGTCTGAATTTATATTTAGCATGGATTGTTATCTTCAAGACACTTATGATAACAAGGGAGCTCAAGGAAAGAAAGGCAGCTAGAAAGAGGAAAACTCAGAAGCTAAAAAAACACTCAACTGTAGAAAATTAAGAAAGAGGGAAAAAGTAGTATATTTACTGAATCAGTTGAGGAAATATTGATAAATTAAAAAATAGTGAAGTAAAAATCTATGTTTCAATTACATTTTGGTCTTCTCGAAGACGTCTCAGAGGAAATTTGTTATTATGAAACGTAAACTCGTTTGACAGATTTATTTAGACACTTAATCATTAACTTTCATTTTCATAGCAACTATTACTTGAATGTCTCGTATAATCTAACATTGTTTTTCTTCCAGTCTCTATAATTAATTTGTCTAATTTATTCAAAAATGCACTACGAGATAAAACGGTAGCAAAACCTGGAAAAGGTAACTCAAATGTTACATGCTGCTTGATTTTAGTTTCAGATGCTTTCCCTTTAAACATATTACTCGAGCAAATGTTCTCAGCTTTAGAGCTTTTAAATTTATGTTCTGAAGATAACCATAAATTCAGAATAAGTATACAGCATTGTAATTTTGATAGCATGCACACCTTGCACGCAAGCACGGGGGGGGGAACATTATATTACATTGTTTTTTTCTAGTACAATTTTTATACAAAAGCTTTCAATGCATTTTTAAAATGAATGTAAAATGGTACCCCTTACCCCTTTCGGTACATATATTTTAACCTTATTTATGTGGCAAAAATTTAAAAAGTTTGAGGACCTCTATCAAGAGGTATTTTCACACTTAAACACGTAAGCTTTATTTGCATAACTAATATAAAACTGTAAGGTCTTTTCTTCCATCCTTCTGCATACCTTTGTGGCGTCATTGAAGCATACTCGACGCTTATTAGAGAAGTCCAGGGCTCGAGATACTGCACATTTTTCACGTCTTCTGCTTCAAAAACCCTAATGACTCTACAAGTGGCTCCCGGACTAATAGGTAATGGACAATAATTCGTCACTACCATAATTTTCCGACTGGGTTCTCTCATACTCCTTTCGGCCTTTAAAAGGTGGAGTATATAAGGTATTTTCTCCCTCCTTTCTGCATACTTTCGTGTTGTAACTGGAAGCATACTCAACGCGTATTCGAGAGGTCTAAGGCTCGAATCCAGGCGAGGACACTGCTCATTTTTCACGTCTCCAGCATCAAAGACCCTAATGACCAGGACCCTATCTAACGGTTTGGGAAGATAACTTCGTAACATGCATGTAGTTTCACGGTCTGATTGAATATTGCTAATTTCGCGGGTTGTTTCTCGCCTTTTCAAGAGTAATATTTTAGATTTTGTTGTTAAATTTTAGGAAGGGAACCGGGACAGAAAGCATCATTATTGCATAATGCATTACCAATTGTTTCATACGTTTTCGAATATAATGATTTTAACTACACTGAAACAATTTCACAGTTGTCTTTCATTTAACTGATCCTTATATTTGTGGAAGCATGTAATTTGATTTCCTGCCTACTTATGTTGTTAAAGGAATCTCTGAGAAGATATACATCTCCTACCGAAACTTTATTTCACGTACTGTTTTACGAATTTCTATAACCTAAAAGTAACATTCTAGTGTTAATAATGCAAGTTAATAGGATAAATTAGAAGGCACTAAAAATTAGATATCTTTCAGGAGAGGCG